AAAAAAACAGTTTATTAATTTTTTAGAGAGAGAAAGGGAGAGGGAGAGAAAAACATCCATGTGAGAATGTAACATCAATTGGCTGCCTCCTGCACACTCCCTACTGGGGATCAAGCCTTCAACTCTGGCATGTGCCCTTGACGGGGAATGGAATCAGTGACCTCCTGGTGCATGGGATAATGCCCAGCCTATTGAGCCACAGCTGTCTCAAACTGCCTCCTTGGAAGGACCCGGACTACGGTTTTTATAGCTGGATCGTAGATAGGTGTTAGAAATCAGATCCTCAGTTCAGTCACGTAACATGTTTGGGGAGAACCTTGAGATATAATTTACAGAGATTAAACTGTTCCCTACCCTCTAACCCCAGTCTAAATTTTTTAAAATATTTTTTTCTGAGTCTAAACTGAAGAAAATAAAAACTGTGACTTCTCTACTGAAGAGATAACCATTCGTAATGTTAATCATTTTTACTTGAATAGCACATAATAAATGCACATGGTATAAAATTTGAAAAAATCCCAGGGGATATACAATAAAAAGAAAATTCCATTTCTTCCCTGACCTGTTACCTACTTTCCTTTCCAGAAGTGACTACTGTTAAACTGTTTGCATTTTCATGTGGTTTTTTTCTTGTGCCTTTCCTTCTTCCCAAGTTTTTATTATGAAAATTTTCAGACATACATGTATGTTTTGCTTAATCATTTGCAAGTAAATTGTAGACTTAATGACATTCACCTCTAAGGGATTCAGCATTCATCGCCTAAAACCATTCTCCTGTGTTACCAATATACCATTATCACACCTAAGAAAGTTAATTTCCTCATGTCATCAATCACCCAGTTCATATTCAGGCTTCCCTAATTGCTCCCAAAAATGTCTTTTGGGGGTTTTGAGGGGGAACAAAATCCAATCAGAGTTCATGTACTGCCTTTGCTTATGTCTCAGTTATCTCTAGTGTTCTGGAATGGTTCTCCTAACCTTTCTTTTTGACATTGACTCTGAAAATCCCAGGCCAGTTGTCTTGTAGAATATTCCACATTCTGTTTGTCTTAAGGTTTCCTCATGGTGTCATTTACCATGTTCCTCTAACTGCTGTATTTCCTGTCACCCTGAAGGGAGGTCTAAAGACTTGTTTAAATTCAGGTTAAATATTTTTGGGAAAATAACTTCCTAGATGCTGTGTCCTTCATATGGTATCACAGTAGAATAATGCCTTTATTTTTTTATTTTAATATATATTTTATTGATTTTTTACAGAGAGGAAGAGAGAGGGATAGAGAGTTAGAAACATCGATGAGAGAGACACATCGATCAGCTGCTTCCTGCACACCTCCCACTGGGGATGTGCCCGCAACCAAGGTACATGCCCTTGACCGGAATCAAACCTGGGACCTTTCAGTCTGCAGGCTGGCGCTCTATCCATTGAGCCAAACCGGTTAGGGCAGAATAATGCCTTTAAAAAAACTGGCAAAATACACACACAAAAATTTGCTATCGCAACCACTTTTATTTTTATTTTATTATTATTTTTAAAAATCCTCACTCAAGGATATATTTTTATTGATTTTAGAGAAAGAGGAAGGGGGAGAGAGAGGGAAACATCTTGCCCTGACCAAGATCAAGCCCACAACCTGGGTATGTGCTCTGACTGGGAATTGAACTCGCTACTTTCAGTCCGTAGGCTGATGCTCTTGCCACCGAGCCAAACCGGCTAGGGCATATATTGAGTTTTGATTCTTGCTTGTTTTTCCTATTGTGGGCATTTTCCCATGTTATTAAAGGTTGTAGAATAGCCCTGGCCAGTGTGGCTCAATTGGTTGGAGCACTGGTTGAGACGTCATCCCATGCACCAAAGGGTTGTGGGTTCGATTTCTGGTCAGGGCACATACCCAGGTTGCAGGCTTAATCCCCAGTAGGGGGCATGCAGGAGGCAGTCAATCGATGTTTCTCTTTCACACTTGTTTTATCCTCTCTTCCTCTCCCTTCGGTCAGTGAAAAACAAAAGACAAAAAAACAAAACACATTTAAAGGTTGTAGAACAATCTATTCTGTAAATATACCTTTTCCTTAGATAGGGTTCTAGGTTTTGGCTGCTATAAGTAGCAACTGCAGAGGGACCGTTTTTCTAAGCTTTTGACCTAGAGCTTTGGTTGGGCTCAGCCTTTATGAGCAATATTTTCTGCTCCTGAGTCTGAGAAGTGAGTGCTTAGGGAATATTCCTGTTCCTCTCAATATCTCCTTAATTCCTTTTCCTCTCCCCTTCTTCCTGATTTCCCCTCCTCTTTGTTGTCCCCTCCGCCCTTAGGTAAGTCAAATCTCATGGATGCCATCAGTTTTGTACTGGGCGAAAAAACCAGCAACCTGCGAGTAAAGACCCTCAGGGATCTGATCCATGGAGCTCCTGTGGGCAAGCCAGCTGCCAACCGGGCCTTTGTCAGCATGGTCTACTCTGAGGAGGGTGCCGAGGACCGCACCTTTGCCCGTGTTATTGTTGGTGAGTTAGGCTGACCAGGGCCTCTCCTTGGTTCCTGGACGTGGCTAGACTAGTTGGCTGGAGAGGAAATCCTGACCCTTGGCCAACTTGTCTTGTAGGGGGTTCCTCTGAGTACAAGATCAACAACAAAGTGGTCCAGCTACACGAGTACAGTGAGGAATTAGAGAAGTTGGGCATTCTCATCAAAGCTCGTAACTTCCTCGTCTTCCAGGTGGGCTTTTTTAACAATTATTGGCTCTCTGCTTTTTGCCAACCCTTGGGCCTGCTTCATCTCTGGCTTCCTCTCTTGCCCTGAACTAATAGAGCAGCTTCCTCACTCCAGTCTTGCCCTTGTAGTCTTCAGATCAGCATCACTGGACATATTAGAAATGCACATTTTCAGGCTTCATCCTAGACCTACAGACTCGGAGACTATGGGGGTAGAGCCCAGCAGTGTGTGTTTTACCAAGCCCTCCAGGTTAGGATTGTACACGCTGAAGTTTGAAACCACTGCCTTAGCATGAAATCCAAACTCCTGCCTTTCAGGAAACACCATCCTTTGGTTCCTGCCTACCTCACTGGCCTCATCTGCCAATGCTCTTCCCTCCACCCCTGCACTCCAGACTAATGAAACCATTTGCAGTTCCCCAAATTCACCTGCTTTCTTTGGACTGTAGGCCTTTGCACGTTAATTTTTCTCTACACGGAACAACTTCGTCTCTCCCACTTTCTTGGTTAGTTCTTCCACATCTTCCAAACTCAGCTTAGATGTCACCTTTGGGAAACCTTTCCCAGTCCTACCAGTCTCCTACCCCCAGGCTTCATTTAGTCCTTTTCTGTGCTGCTTCTGTTGCTGCATTTAATATATGGTGTTGGCTTTGCTTCTGCTTCCCATGCACCTCAAAAGGCCAGGAATGTGTCCTCAGAGCCCAGTGTGAAATGCGGCACCCAGTGTGGGGAGGAGGCTCAGTGACCTTCTGAAAGATTGAGTGGTGGGAGTAGGTCGGAGGAACTGGCTGGCTAGGGTCTAAGTGGGGAGAGTGTTTTGACCTTTACTAGGGTGCTGTGGAATCCATTGCCATGAAGAACCCCAAAGAGAGGACAGCGCTATTTGAAGAGATCAGTCGCTCTGGAGAGCTGGCCCAGGAGTATGACAAGCGAAAGAAGGAAATGGTAAAAGCTGAAGAGGACACACAATTTAATTACCACCGCAAGAAAAACATCGCAGCTGAACGCAAGGAGGCCAAACAAGAGAAAGAAGAGGTAGGTGGCCAGGCTGCCTCAGGGCCCTGAGAGAGGATGGGGAGCCAGTGCCTTCCTGATGCACCCCCTGACTCCATGCCTCTATTTGCACAGGCTGACCGCTACCAGCGCCTGAAGGACGAGGTGGTGCGAGCTCAGGTCCAGCTGCAGCTCTTTAAGCTATATCACAACGAAGTGGAAATCGAGAAGCTCAATAAGGAGCTGGCCTCTAAGAATAAGGAGATCGAGAAGGACAAGAAGCGTATGGACAAGGTAGAGGATGAGCTGAAGGAGAAGAAGAAGGAGCTGGGCAAAATGATGCGGGAGCAGCAACAGATTGAGAAGGAGATCAAGTAAGAGACAGGCCTGGGCATGCAATTCATGGGAAACCAAGAGGCTGTCCTGTTTCCTAGGGCTCCTCTCAGCCTGGAGTTCAGCATCCATACTAGTTTCTCTATTTTCCTCTTGACTTGCATTTTATTTTTAATTTTTATTTTTTTAAATGTATATTTTTATTGATTTCAGAGAGGAAGGTTGAGAGAGGTAGAAACATCAGTGATGAGAGGAATCATTGATCAGCTGCCTCCTGCATGCCCCACAGTGAGATTAAGCGCACAACCCAGGCATGTACCCTTGACCAGAATCGAACCTGGGACCCTTCAGTCCACAGCCTGACACTATCCACTGATCCGAACCAGATAGGGCTTGACTTGCATTTTAGACAAATAGAGTATTTAAATACTCAGGCTCTGGGTAGATAGGTGCTCAGAAGAGGGAGAACTTGAAAGGGTGATGATTTGCCAAGTGCGAGGAAGCGATGAGAATCTGAGGCACTAGAGTGGAAGGGAGAGGGCAAGACAGAGAAATATCGATGTGAGAGAGACACATCGATTTGTTGCCTCCTGCATGTGCCCTGACTAGGGCCTGAGCCGGGGAGGAGCCTGCAACTGAGGTGCATCCATTTGACTAGAATCGAACCTGGGTCCCTTCGGTAGCAGGCCGATGCTCTACACACTGAGCCAAACTGACTAGGGCAGGGACAGGACTTTTTTTTTTTAATATATTTCCATTGATTTCAGAGAGGAAAGGAGAGATGGAAACATCAATGATGAGATAATCATTGACTGGCTGCCTCCTGCACACCCCCTACTGGGGATCGAGCCCACAACCCAGGCATGTGTCCTTGACCAGAATTGAACCCAGAACCTTTCAGTCCACAGGCCGACGCTCTATCCACTGAGCAAAACCAGCCAGGGCGCAAGGACAGGATTTTAAAAGGCCAGTTTAGATGGAGGATGGCTAACACAGAATATTCTAAGAGTTGTTATGAGGGTTCTGGCCTGGCTGGTTGAGGCCAGGGTAGCAGCTTTAACCTTATGGAGGGCCTGGAATGCCAGGCAGAAGGTCCCAGGGAATAATCAGCCCCTGTTTTGAGGATCTGTGGGGCATCAGGTCATTCTCAGGCAGTTCCCTGGGGCTGGCTGTGTGTGGGGGTTCAGGCATCCCTTTCTTTGGTTAAAAAAGCTAGGAACCCTCCTCCAACAGTGCTGACTGGTTATCCCCCTCCCCTCTGGCAAAAGGGAAAAGGATTCAGAATTGAACCAGAAGCGGCCTCAATACATCAAAGCCAAGGAGAATACCTCCCACAAAATCAAGAAGCTGGAAGCAGCCAAGAAGTCCCTACAGAATGCTCAGAAGCATTACAAGAAGCGCAAAGGTGACATGGATGAGCTGGAAAAGGAGATGCTCTCGGTGGAAAAAGCCCGGCAGGAGTTTGAGGAACGGATGGAAGAGGAGAGTCAGAGTCAGGGCAGAGACTTGACCCTGGAGGAGAACCAGGTAAGCTCTGGGAGGGCTGAGGGGGAGGATGGGGAGATTGCTGGGCTGCCATGGACTGACCGGTCCTCTGTGTCCTCCTTCCCTGTCTCTAACACAGGTGAAGAAATACCACCGGTTGAAAGAAGAAGCCAGCAAGAGAGCTGCTACTCTGGCCCAGGAGCTGGAGAAGTTCAATCGAGA